TTGTCATTCCTAGAAATCTGTGTTAAATTTTCTTCTGCCATTTCATGTACCTGCAAAATCTGGCCTCTCTCCTCAGTTCCTTGGCACATCAAGGCCACCTCCTCCGTTCTAGCTCCCACTTTGCCTTTTCAGCTGAGTTTTGTCATTTTTGCGAACCTCCTGGATTAGCTCCAGCTCTCTTAGCACGGGCTGTAACTCAAAGCCATATTGCTGCTCCAAGTCTCCACTTGCAGCACCTCTCCCGTTCTGCTCCCCTCCTTCAGAGCCGTCGCTGCCTTGAGATGCAGCAGGCTGCTGCGGCACCCCCTGAACTTCCTCAGCGATCGCGCCGTTTGTGGTTTTAATCTTTGCTTCATCCTACCCCAGCACCCCTTGGACCAACTCCATCTTCTCCTGTAGCTCTTCCCACTACTTGCCTTCAGGCACCCATTTTGGCAGCCAGTTTCTGCCCCGCTCCCATCTGTATTGCTGTTTCGTTACTGTTGACTCTTCCCTGTCCAAGTTCCCAGCTGCATCTCTAAAATCCCATCCTTGACATTGTGAGCTGTCATGAGCAACAAACGATGAGATCCTAGAGCATCAGTTATCCATATGCTTGATCCAGTTGGGCTTACAACCCCAAAATACATCTACAGGCTCTCTACTACTGTTGAAATAAGAAGCCATTAAAAAGTCTTGGTATTTTACGGTGGGAGGATGGAGAATCAGACTTCACCTTTAACAATTTTAACATTGAAGATGTCATCATCTACTGTACAAATGGACTATGCACGCTTTTCATTAGGAATGAGGTTCAAACAAATATTATTCTTGGACTTTGGTCTGGACCAATTTTACTGCCAGCCATGGAAGGTGGTTTCAAGCTTTAAGGAAGCAAGTACCTCCTCAGAGGCCATCACCGTCTGCTCTCGCACAGTACTTTGCTGCAAACGTGCCCTACTTGTATCAACCTGCGGCATTTTGAGAGACAGATGGATGAGGATGCTAGCAGAGATCGCGGCTAAGAGGCGACAGCCTTCTACACACCTCACATTTCTGACCAGGCGATGGTTTTGGCACTTTCTCAAAACGAAGCCCCTGAAAAAAGGGGGGCATCGAGTTGGAAACAAAACACTGCGGCAACCCCAGTCGCTTCGCAAAATCACGGCTTTTGTGTCGGGGTGGTGTTTACCCCCCCAAGCCTCTTCTCAAGCCCTAACCAGATCGTTTAAGTCAAGTAAGCGTCTCCATGGAAACCTCCTTTCTCAAGGAGCCTCCTTGCTGGAGAAAACCATGCACCCCTTTTGTTTAAAAGGGGAACGCGGTTTGGTAGGAGCATAATGCCTGTCTAGAGAAGAGCCTGTAACAACTCATCAGCCAGATTTATGTCCTTTAAAACCACGTCCAATTGAATAAGCCACTTTAGGGAGGGGTAACGGTGCGCTATCGCTGCCGCAACTAAATTAGCAAGTTCTGCCATCCCTGCCCTGGCTCTCAGCATCACTAAATTGCCTTCTTCAAGGCACATGGGGGTCTGTGTACCCCCCACACACACACAAACTCTTGGCCCTGGTGAACTCCAAATTAATCGTTCGTTTAAAGAAAACCTAGAGCTAAAGTCATACAAATAAAGTTATACAATGCCCATTCTTGAAATATAGGAAAAGGCTTGTTGAAGCTGCAAGTAGCTTCCTAAATAGGACAATATTCCATGTTTTGGAAAAGAAGAGGAGTTTTAGCCTCTTCTTCCAGCAAGCCCTTTGTAAGCTGCAACATGTTGTATCATTTCTGGTACAGGATTGCTTGAGACCCCTCAAAAAGGAAGCCAATTTCCAGACAGGATACTCAAACAATTGAATATTTCATGTCCTAATACAGAAGAGATATTTTAATATTAATAGGCAAATATATAATTGATTAAGGGCCATGATTAAAAATGGTTTCAAGTCAGGCAAATCAGTTCATGGCGATATGTTAAAAAAAAAAAAAAAAAGCAAAGCTACCAAAGAAGTTCTCCAGTTGGAGTCACTTTCAAATCACAGTGGAAGCAAGATGTTCTCAGGAAAATATTTTTAAGTCAGACAGTCACTATTTAAGAGCTCTCTTTAGATGGGAAGGTGCCATAAAGGGCTACGTGGAAGCTAACACAGGTGCTGATGCCAGGCAATGCCCAGATGAAGGAAGACTAGAGGAAAGGATGTAGCTCAGAACAACAAAAATAATGCCATTCCCCTAAGCTTAAGGTAGTTACAGAATTTTTTAAGATTTTTTGAGACCATAAAACCATGACCTGCCTGGTAACTTGAGACGAGGTCCAGGCACGCTGTAGCAGTTACCTCCTTTTCCCAACCATGGGAAACAAACCCAAGCTTGGGACAACACACACCCCTATGGTCTTGCAGCTTCCCAGCGGAGAACGAAAGGTTTTTGGCAAACCCGTTCCCAAGCAGCCAACAGGACCCAGCCAGGACCAATTAAAAGTGGAAGTCAAGCAGATAGAAGCACAACACTAGCATAGGAAGAGGGATAAACAGTTGTTGGTGTCGATCCATTTCCATTATGCAACAGAGAATCCAGAAGGGTGACTTAAAGACATACAAATAACCTTTTCTACCTTCTTTGGGGAAACATAGCAGAAATCCTGCTGCAGAAAAATAAGCTCACGTACATGCTCGCAGATAGGGCATTGCCTTGAGGTTCTCATCGCAATGGTGTGCCGAGAATGGAGCAGGGAAGGAAGCTCAAGAGAAGTCAGAGACATTAAACACATTTGTGGATCAGATTTAATCCTGTGCTGTCAAAAAAAGTCCAGTGCCAAATCTGTAAGGCCAGAGCTATATGAGATTTTAGATCAAGTGAGATCTAGCCCCTAATTCCTTTCTTCTCACGTACGCTATCTTGAGCCTTCCCAAGGAAATATAAACAAACTCCTCATCAAAGGGAATTATTCAAGGGTAGTGGCCTTCCATTCCACAACCTCCACCTAAGCTCCAAGCAGAGGAGCTCATCAATAGACCGTGTTCCTCTCCAAGCTGGCAGCTTTACTGTTTTGCCCACGGAATTCATCCTTGGATACAAGCTTTGCAAGGGAAAACTCTTAGTGTTACAGGGAGATGAAATTATATATACACAACGGGAGAGAGGTTGTAGATTTTGGCAATGGGCTTCAGCCTTCTGCCAAATAGTGACCACCGTGGAGCACAAAGGATGGGAGAAGGCACCACAGAAGCAAAAGACCTCACGAACTCCACCTACACCCGGTAAAACTAGTGCAAGAGCTGTCACGTATCATGGAGCAAATAGGAAAAATGTATTTGAATTAAAACCCAGGTGC